ATGTAATGGATGATATGTAATGGATGATATGTAATGGATGATATGTATCGAACGATATGCATCAGATAATATGTAATGGACGATATGCATCAGATGATAGATATCGGATTGTACTGTAATTTCTGTGATTTCTGCAGACCAAGCTGTCTGTAAATTTAGAACCTGTCGGGTCATATCGAGAGAGATACATGATGTTTAAAGTGGCAAACGAAAGTGACTTGTTACCAGCAAGTAAAAGGTCACACAGCTTTTGTTGCAGTAGCAACACATTTAACCACAGAACTGTGGGCTGCCTGAAGATCAAGAAGAAACCGTTTGACTAGAAACCATTAAACTGATGTTTGTATTTCATGGCCTTACTGCCATGTTTATTTTTCAGCAAACATCAGCAAAAATATATTAGAGGTTTGCACAATAATGAGAGATTTTTTTTCTTTCTTCAATGCTGCAAGTCTACATTCATTTTCTTAGTACTTGGGATCATTCTCTTTAAACTGTCTGAATTGGGTCACGTGTTATGAGCTTGCATTCACAAGCTTCTCACAGAGGTTTGATGATGATGGCACAAACACATTCATGGTGTTTATAGTTGTTTAAACACGTCATGAAATTTTTCTAGATCTAAAGATCTAAAGCTGGATCTGTGCTTCCCAAAACCGTTAAACGCACAGTAATATCAGTGTATGTAAACTTGTGACTTTAAAAAAGTAATAACAAAATTCCCCCAAAGAAAAATCTTTCATTATTTGGGAATTGAGAAAACGAAAAATAGATTTGAGAATAGGCCCTGGTCCTCTCTGAAACTGAAGGTTTCTGGATCCTGGTCTTAATTCAATTCAGTTCAGTTTATTTATATAGCACCAATTCACAACAAAATTGTCTCAGGGCACTGAACAGAAACATTCATAGAACATACATAGAAACAACATAGAACACAGATAGAACAACATAGAAAAGCCAATTAGTAAAGTTCTCTATCTTATCAAAAAGGAAAGACTTAAGTCCAGTCTTCAAAGTAGATAATGTCAATGGTCTTAGAGGGGAGTTCTTTGGTGGAACCCCACACAGCTGCAGGCAGCTGCAGTAAAAGGTTTTTTGCACTAATAACAGTCACAATAAATGGCAGAGAGCAGAGTGTTTTTGTGCCACTCACTCCTTTTCAGCATGCAGTAGCAAACCAACAACACCCTAGGTCCGAAGGAACGTTCATGTATTCACCAGTTTGGACGCAACTGCGATCATGCTGAGATTGCACGTGCAATGCATACATCTGAGCCCAGCATCAGGGTTGCCAGATAAACATAAATACATTTTTTACCCCACTCCTTTTCTGTGCACAAGTTCACCAAACTCAACACACACCTCATTTTACAACACCCTCACTCAGCACATATGACGGTTTTGGTCAACATGCAATAATTTTAAAGTGACAGTGCAACAGTTCATCATTTTTTTATCTGGCAACCCTGCCTGACACTGGCTCTTTTTTTGTTTATTCGTCCCAATAAACATTGAAACAACACTTAACGTTTGCAGAAGTCGTTCTCGTGGCCTCATTCAGAACAGACACAGCTCACACACACATTCTTCTAACTGTGTGTGATTGTTTCCCGCTGCCAGGAAGTGGGTGGCTTACAGTAAACTGTACCAGAACTTGGAGGTGGACTCGTCTGTGATGTTCCAGCAGCTCACCAGTATAGAGTACCACTGGCACCAGCAGGAGCTGCCCTACCAACAGGTACAAATACTCACTGCCAGGGATGGAAAGTACTCAGTGGTACATTTCCAGTTTTAGTTCCTTTTTACTGTTAATTAAAAAAAAAAAAAACCCAATGTATCCTGTCCTGCCAATTTCAACTAACATTTTAATTCTTGGTTTTATTGTCATTTATTAAAGTGCTTGATTTGGTTTTTTATCTGCTTCATTAACCAAACTACTAAAATAAATTAGAAGTTGATACTTCAGCAGGTGAATGTTGAGGAAAGATGTTGCCTTCTGTTTATAGAAACAGGAACTTGGTGATTCTCTTCACGGGTTCCTGCAGTACGGATTATGTCTGGTGGCAAAATACAGAGACATCTTCCCCCCGACCCCTACTGCCACTCCTAAACTACACACAATGCTCAGGTATTCATAGTTAATGAAAGGCGGCCAGTCAGGTAAAGTGTGTCTGTATTTGTTTGTCTGTGTTAGCAAAATATCTATGTTGAACAGTTTTATTGAAACTCTCACAAAAAGTAATCCATGGCTGATTACATTTCGGAGTTAAGTTGATTCGAGATGACCTTATCAACCATAAAGACTCGTATAACTCAAGTTAATTCACTGCTATTGAGCTAAAACTAGTGTGGTAGTTGCTGAAGGTCATTCTCAACACTTCAAGTGAGAACAGGTTGTTGTTGTAAACTTAGACTTTACCTCGCCACCCAGTCCATGGGGGCCACCAAAATGGATAGAACTCAGTCAGTTTTCCAGATATTGAGCTAAAACCTGGTGGTAGATAGTCATCCCAACATGTAATCTGAGGCAGCAGGCTATACAGCTTCAGTTAAGATTCAGGCACAGTTTACAGGCCCAGGATTATGCATCTCATTAAGGTTTTGATTTTCTTCAGGATTTTAGTCCAGATATGTAAAACCAAGGCTTTCCAAAAACTGAATCCAGCTCACTTCGAACTTCACGATGAGGTCAACGACGCCATACAGGTGAGGAATCGTTCTCCTGGGATTATTCTTAACAGCATGCTAAGAAATGACTACCTTCAATTACTCATAACATGACTTTTATCCCAGACAGGGACGGAGGAGTGGTTCACCATCAAAAAGGGTTTGCATCAGCCGATGACTAAGGTAAAATCCAGAACGTTAAAAAAATTCTAAACGTAGGCCACTATTTGGAAATTCTTTGATTTGTTTCAATATGCTTCACTTTGCTAACGTCATGTCACATCCAGGACCTGGTGGAAATTGGGAGCGCCCTGTCCAGATTGATTATGGAGGTGCAGGAGGACATAAAGCACAACAAGGATGTGTGGAACAGAGTGTTTGTCAGGCAAGCGAGCATTCAAATTTCTTTACATCAGATACGACTAACACCTTTCAAACACAAGAGCCACTGAAAACACTAGCATGGCTAAAGTGGTGACGTAAATATTAATGTTTCTCTTCTTGCTCCCTGTGCGGTATAACCATGGAGTAATTAATTATGGATCGTTTTTTCAATATTTTTGCACATCTGTACGATCTAAAGTCTTCATAGTTGATGCCATTTTGTCCATTCAAATATCAAAACATTCAGCTCCTTCAGGAGATGGTGACTTTTGGTTTTTGTAGCTTTTTTATTTTCTAATTATTTTCAAGTTATTATGAAAAATCCCCCCCCCCCCCCCGTACAGTTTTCTGTTGACATCTCCTTATTTTTCTAGTAAAAAGTTCTTTTTAAAGTTCACTTCAGCAGATTAGCTCTGTTGTGTGCTCTTCTGCTGCTTTTAGTTTTAGATACCATTCTGCTTCCGTTAGCCTTTTTGCTACTTTAATCTAGCCTTTTGATACCATTCTCTTATTTTTAGCTAGCCTTTTGCTACTTTCAACTTCTAGCTTTTGTTTTTCTACTTTCACCTAGTATTTTTTTTAAACTTTTAAGTATGAATATGCTACTTGTAGCTAGTCTTTGGCTTCTTTACACGTTTAGCCATAATTGTTCCATGTTTAGCTATCATTATGTTACTTTTAGCTATCAATATGCTACTTTTAGCTAGCCTTTTGCTACTTTACATTTTAGCCATAATTTTTCCATTTTTAACTAGCATTGTGTTGATTGTAGCTATCAATATGCTAGTTTTTGCTAGCATTGTGCTACTTTTTGCTAGTCTTTTACAACTTTAAACTATTTATAATTATTATTATTTTAGCTAGTGCTGTGATATTTTGGGTGTTTAGCTAGCGTTTTGCTTCTTTTAGCTTTAACAACTCAGGTGTAGTCAGCAGTCAGTCAGCGTTAAGCCCCTACATTCTTGTAGAAAATGTAATTTGTCTTGTCTGAACGTGGATTTTATCCAGTAATCTGTGTTTTCTCTTGACTTCAGTGCGGTGCAGGTGGACGTGTTCACTGTGGTCTATCTCAAGTTCGATTTCCTGGTTTGTGGCAAAGAAAACATCCATTTCCTCATCAAACTGTTATTTTCACAACATGAGTTTCAATAATTGGATTTTATCTAACTATATTCCACCTCCCCTAATATTCGCCGTAGCTTGCACGTGAGGTGAGGGAAACCTTAGCCCTGATGGAAGGCCAAATGGATGAGAAAGTTGCCAAAAGCCTGTTCCAGGTCTACCTGAGCTTGAAGGGCATCCATAAGGACAAGGCTTTCCTCCAGAAAAGGTCAGAAACAGTCCTCACCACCACATGGATATGCTCTGATTACTCCTGGGTATCTTCATGACCTGCTGTCAGATAATCTGTGATTGGTTTTCTCATTGAGCTGAACTTAATCTCAGATTTTCTGATTAGAGTCCCTTTGCTGTCATTCATGTTTCAGGGCACACTGATAATAAATAATAAAGCCATTTTCTGTTTTAATTCTTCTGATCGACCTATTTTCACCTGCAGTCTTACAAAAAGCATGCGTGTAACTACCCGTGTGGGTGCGTGTGCTCGTGTGCACATCTGAGTGAAATATCTAAGAAAGTCATGACTCATCTACACCCACTGTACGTTTGGAGGAAACTCAATTCAAGATGGCCGTCACAGCTAATAAATCTTAGCAAACACTAGTATAGGTATCGATTAATTTCACACAGTGGGTGAAAGTTGTGTGTGCTAGTAGCTGAGAGTCATACCTAACGCTGTGAGCTCTGACTGTGTGAGGTTTTACAATAAATCTTACAAACAAATTATTTTAATGCTGCCAAAGAGAAATTTCCAGCTGCAGTCGATCACGATCACTAACTAGAAGTTAATAGGTCTTGGCCTTATCGTATAAAAACAACTTTTAGCTCTACGTAATAAAATATCTAGATGAGTTCTACTTCAGGTAAACTTGAAGCAAATCACTGAAGCTGTGTTGTATCACTCCCCCAGGAAAATGACCAAACCAATAATTTAAAGCTAAAATATATTTTGTGACCATCATGACACTGCTGTAAATATTACAATATATAAGATGTGAATTTGTACTTTCAGGAAATTACTGGAGCTGACAGACTTTCACGAGGGCTTCAGAGACGCTCTGCCATACTGGCTGAAGCAGGTGTTCAGCACCACCCACAACAGGGTGGAGAGGGCTGTGCAGATGGACCAGGTATCGTTTTGTTATCCAGAATAAGCCCCTCATGTGCAGTTCTGTCATCAGAAGAATAAATCTCTGCTGTCCGCGCAGCTCCAGCCACTGCAGACCGGTTCAATGCCCATCAAGCACAGCTCGTCAGCCGTGGACCTGGTGGCCTGCATCCAGCCCATCTGCCAGCTGTGGGAGCAGCTGTCATGGCCGGACCCTGAGGAGGCCTTCATGTTGATGGTGAAAATCACTGAGGTACAGGATGCTGCATTGTCAGCAAACAGCTACCGAGGCAAAGGTGCAACTCTTAATCATTCATCAGTTGGCATTTTATAGGCTTTATTTTCAACACAGACAGAGTGAACTCCTCAGATCTTCATGATGACCACCTCCATCCCTCATGGTTACTCTACTGAATGACCTAACACAAACTAACACGTAATGAACACATAAAGTAAACTAGGCTAACAAGAACAGACTAATCAGTAAAAGAACAATGCTAAACAGCTAAATGAAATGGTTGACAATGAATATAAATTTTACCCATAATCCCTCCCTGAGGCCACGTGACCAGCAGTCAACCACAGCAGAATGCTGCAATAATACGCTGAACAAGTCAGTCTAAAAAATGTACAGAATACAGTATAAACAGACTAGAAAGTTCCTGGAGAAACTTTGATGGGGACTACCACGTGGCAGCCATTTAATTTTTTTGAGTTGACAGTACAATGTGTTGGGCATTGCTCTCAGCTACAACCATACCAAATTTCACCCCGATATCTTTTAGAATATCTGAGTTATCGTAGTTTTTCCCTTTTAGCTATGGTGGCCATCTTGGATTTTTGATTCACATTAAGAATGTATAACAACTCACTCTCAGTTATAACCATACCAAATTTCAGCTCAATATGTCAAAGAACGACCGAGTTATAGTCAATTTTCTGTTTGCTGAGTTAGCTGTGGCAGCCATCTTGAATCAAAATAGCTCCAAAAATTAATCAGCTGTTTTATTCAGATACCGCTCCACTCTAAGTCATGTGACCTCTCTGTGGAAGTTAGAAGATTTAATTTTGTCAGGGTTTTTCAATGAGAAAAATGACACATTTGCAAATTACGTCACCATGGTAACTCAAAATGTCAATAAAAGTAACAGCACACATCACTGGAAAACAGCGTTCACGCTACAAGGACCACGGATGGCTGCTGGTTGATTATTTTTGCTCTGTGCGTGTTTTTAGGATGTGTGCAGGATTGTGATGGACTACTGTAACCTCCTGAAGAAGAGGGTCAACGTTCTGTCCAAGAACTCCGACCACAGCAGCGCCATAAACATGGTGAACCCTCTCCCAGCTAAAGATCCTTCTGGTGCCGCTTTTAGCACCATGTCTGAAGCCTCTCTCCTCTCTGCAGCTGTGCGTGGTGGTGAATGACCTGGAGCATTTACGGGAAGTACTGAGCAATCTTCCAAAGCAGCTGAACTTTGACGGACTTCAGACCCGCATTAAAAATGTCATCGGGGACAACCAGTTCAAGAAAACACTGAAGCTGCAGGTTGAACAAGCCCAAAGCTTCCTGGAGCGAGAGATCACATCAGCATTAGACACTCTTCGAGGACAGGTATCACTGTCTAATCGGTTGTTTTTGTGTGTGTAATGATGAGTATTCAGTATCTTACCTGCAGCAGGAAGTGCTCAGCGTGATCTCAATTTGCAGAATCGAGGAAAAGTTCTTGGAGCGGATTGAATCAAGCAGCTACACTGAGCTCGTTACTGAAAATAGTTGAATTGTTTTCTCTATTTTCGAGTTGCTGACGATGATTCTTGAAATGGCGCCAAAAGGTTTTTTTTTTTTTTTTTTTGGGGGGGGGTGGGGGGGTGAGACTGCTTTGAGTGGACAAGGAATCACTGAGATGTCGTCATTAGGGGCAAAGCAGGATTGTTGTAACAACTGCAGCTATCCCCAGAAATAAGGACCAACGAGAACAGAGACCAAGACTTAGAATGAATTTACAAGTGATGCAATAACTGGAGTCTAAGGAGACTGGAACCCTGAAGGGCAAAGAGGTGATTAGGAATCTTGTAAAGGGTGATAATTGTTAAAGACGTGAGCTGGCTGCGGGCCACCGGATCCGGAAACCCCCTCCAGCCCACGTCCTCACCCCCGGCTCGAACCTTCCTCAGAAGTGGCAACTATACTAATCAATAAATTAAGGAAACGTCAATTAAGTTTTATCAATTATATTAGAAAATGCAGTGAAAGATTACAATTTATAGCGCTGGACTCTATTCAGTCTGTGACGCGTTTACAGACCCGGAAGAAAGAGCCCCGATGTCTCATGTCATCATTAATTTATAGGGCCCTAAGGGGGAGCTCAACCTGTCAGTGTAGAGGGGGCGTGGCTAAGTGTGATCTTATGTGGACTGACGTGTTAGGAAAAATATGAAACGGTGCTTCAAAGCCTTTCTAGTGATGTGGCAAGCTGATTAAACTATTTCTTGACAGATATTGAATTATCAGGGAGACTCTCTTAAGAGTTTTCTGGCCCAGTTTAACCCAGTCAGAACTGGGTCATAATTTCATTATAATCCCGTCTCTGAGCAGATCAAAACATAGGACCAGTCTAAATAGGAAATATCTTAACAACTCCCCCTGTGCGAGAGTCCCCAAAGGGGTTCTCTCGCATAAAAACTCACAGTTCAGTACCGCCAGATAAGCACGCAATTAATCACTTTCCTCTGGTTGAATGTGAACTACTCCTTATATGTTGGCGGGAGATGCCTACAGGCTACAGCGTGCGACCCGGCCACCTCAGGTCAAATAAGATGTCAGAGCTGACGGCTAACGTGTGACCTGCCAGCCCTCAGGCCGCTTGACCCAGCATCTGGACATCTGCCTAGGAATTCAGCCTCTCCCTGGTGTGGTGCCATAACATAATGGAAATTTCTAACATTGGTCTAAGTCAGTCTCTCTAAATATGATTTAATAGTTGCAGGAGGCGTCCTAATGCAAGAAAAGCGTTCTTATATAATATGTTAATCAGTTCCGTAGACCCTGAATTTCTCTTTTTGACTCCAAGGGCAGGCCTGGTCCATCGTGTCCATGTGAAAAAGAAAAAACTCTGCCCCCTTTCCTTTTTCAATCGTGTAATATACAATTAATTGCACAGAGTGCTGCCGGTATTTTTTAGCCTGCCACAGCAGAAAACATTTTAACGTCTATGTTGTATGTAACTAACAGAACCTCCCAACTCCCCCTGGTGATCTAATATAAAAACATTCCTAATTAACCAACAAATCAATTTACCCATGCCACCCTTTAATTTAATATCAATTTGGATTGAAAAGTGTCATAAGTTCACCCCCTGGAAAATCTATAGTATAAAAACCCATTTTATGTATACATTATACTCCACTCCAGCTGTAAAAAATTTGTTATTTCATAGAAAACAATGTCAAAGATTAAGTTTATCAGTGCAATTGCACCATCTAGTGGCGTTATTTCATCATGATCTGCTCTTGAAACTGCAAAAAACGCATTAAAATTTCATTTTTACCCGTCTTCACACATAAAATAGTCATTAAATAAACAAATCATCAAGTAATCATTAAAAAGGTAATATTTAGCTCTGTACCATGCAAATGTGTATTGGTCAACCATGTTAATTTTAAGGAAAAAATCATCACAACGCTCCATAATACTGTTAATAAACTGTAAACGTTAATATTAGACCCATCCCATAATTAGTCAGTCCATCAATCATCTCATATCTCAAAGTAGTTGGAGAAGACCTGTCACCCAATTAATGCTGAGTTCAAAAATCAAAATAACCATAATTCTAAAGCACACATCTACTTAATTGTTAAAAAATTCACCAAGAACGTAGCTTCACATATAATAACATCATTAATTGATTAGCATTGAAAACACAACCTATAAATATTTGTAATGTCAAAACAGTGTTCTATAATCATTTCAGTACATGTAAAAATCCCAAAACTCTAGTCTATCAATCATTTATTAACTCATAGCTTACTAAAATCATCAAGTTCACTGTGTCACAGTGTTTAATTTGCTAAAGATATATTTTAAAGACGCTCCTCCATCTATGTTTAAAAGTAAAATCAGAAAATAGAAAACCCTTCACTGTGCTGGTAACGTTAATTAGATGTTAATAATGATAAGTGATGTTAATTTGATGTGACTTAAACTGTCAGCCAGATCAGTATGAACCTTAAAAAACCCTCATCCATGACAATTGATAACACCCTCATTTGATGCGTGATGTTCTCAGCTCAGGGAGTAGAACCGGTGACTTTTTCCTCCCTGGCACTCCACTCCATGCCCCCTCATCAGGGGCATTTCCTCGGACACCTGTCCAGCCTCCATCATACAAACCTCTGTCATTGGACTCGCAACCTCTCTGTCAGCGACTCGTTTGAAGCTGCATTATCAGGAAAAAAGAGCAAACATCCTTCTCCCACAAATATCACAAAACTCCATCAGTCTATCTATCTAAGTTTCTATAATTTTCATTATCAATATATAATTATCAATTATCGTTCATTCTGGGTAAGTCATTGGTTCATACTCATCTGACCCCACTCTGGGAACGTTGATCACAAACTCACAGGTGATCCCTGCGTTCACCTTCCCTGGATCTTTTTCATCTTAGGTGACCTGAAACATCCATCCATCCATCCATTATCTTTACCCGCTTACTCCATTTTGGGTCACGGGGGTAGCTGGTGCCCATGTCCAGCAATCACTGTGCGAGGGGCGGGGTACACCCTGGACGGGTCGCAAGTCCATCACAGGGACACATAGAGACAAACGAGACAAACAACCATTCACTCTCTCACTCACACCTAGGGACAATTTAGAGTTACCAATCAGCCTAACATGCATGTTTTTGGTCTGTGGGAGGAAACCGGAGCACCCGGAGAAAACCCACGCATGCATGGAGAGAACATGCAAACTCCACCCAGAAAGGCCCCTGGACTGGGGTTTGAACCAAGGACCTGCTTGCTGAGAGGCAGCAGCTCTACCAGTTGTGCCACTGTGCTGCCCCGTGACCTGAAACAGGTGATAAGAAACACAAACAGCACAAACACCCTGCTGGCAACCAGCCAGACAGAATCCATCCTTCCACCCATCATCCTATTCCTGTCAAGTTTTTCTGAATTGAGTCATCACATTTAGTATTTTATCAGCAACACTTACGGTTTTTCTTCATGCACCAAATTTCACAAGTCATCATAAGTGTTATACAACATCACTCTAAAATGGTATGTCTTAAAACATGTTAGTAGTTGTTAGAATTCATTATTATACATTTTCTGTTAGTATCTGTTAAAGAATAATAAAAAGAAGTAAAAATAGTGAAAAAGAAGTAAAAAATACTGTATTCTAACTCTGTTAGCACTTGTAAGAATCTTACCTGAGATAAAACATCTATAGATTTGATTTAATCTGCCTGTAACTCAGTCACTGAACATTGTAAGTGATTTAGAAGTCAAATATCTAGCAAAGTTTTTGATCCTTATATTATATACAATATTCCAGCCTAATTTATCATCCAAAACAACCTCTGACATTTAGCTTATCTCATTATATAAAAATCAACCTAATACAGCCTAAAAAGCATTCACAGTAGTCATTTTAGTTCAGCACTGCTCCAGAGACCTGTGAAGGGTTAATGTTGTTCAAGCTATACAAATCACATCAATTAAATAATCCTCAAACATAATCTTTGTTTAACCAGAAATTTTTTAAGGGACAGGCACCGTTACAATGAAAATTTCTTTTGAAAACATAAAATTACCAATTTTAATCTGCATTTTTTAAATTTAAAACCAAGACTATATCTTAAAAACTGCAGGGCACTTGCTGTGAGATAATTCCAGCTCTCATCACGACTCCATTAAGACATTCTGTTAAATCTCATCGTTAATGTCAGCTTGTATTACCGTTTAAAACTGTCCATAATTTAAAGGTGGATCCATTTATCTGTCAATTAATC